GAACTCGGCTCTGCTCGGTAGAGACCCCTTTTCAACAGTTCTTGCCACTTAGATGTTAGCACCTGTGGGTTCCCTACCCAGGCATCCCTCGTTCAACCCCTCTCTGCTCCCTGAATTGGCTCCACTCTGGATTTCATCTCACTCTGGTCTAACTAGCTAACCTTTAACTCCTCTTTGCCTCAGCTGGTAGCAATTTTGCCACTCCCCTCCCGGTTTCTGGCGTTATGTCTACTTGTCCTAGCTGGTTGTTGCCTTTTCTGGTGGTGATAGTGTGTGTGTTGAGCAGTAATAGCGCCATTGCTCCCCAGTGGACTTCATTCCGTCCTAACTATACCAGATTAGGAAACACCTTACATGTGGCCTGCCTTATTTTATCCCTTGAGGAAACTGTTGGGTGTAATTTTGTAACATCTGGTACTGTGTGATACAGTGCTCACATTGGTTGATAGCACCCACTGTTAATGGTCTTGCCCCGCCTGGAGCTAGCTAGAGAGCCAGTGGGCAGTACCTTTAGCCACACTGGGCATGGGAGTGGCCTGGGGGAGAGACAGACTTGTGAATTTTCTGGTACTTGAACGCTTCAATTTGTTTTTCATGGTGTTTTCTCTCCCTTTCTGCCACCAAACCAGGCCATGGTGGTGAGGTGTGGGAGCAGAGTAGTCATGAGACACTTGAGTTTTGGTGGGGAATCTAGCCAAGCTGAGGCTTACCTCACCAAGCTATGACCACTAGGAGCGGCTCAGTCAAGTAAAGATTTTAGCATCTTTGGTCCTGTTTCTCCTGCAGCACTGGTTAGAGCTATGGCACCGCTAAGACCCCCAGTAGAAGTGGGTAAGGCTTCCCTGGCATGTGTTGAGACATCAAAGATTGGATTTTGCTAAGTGGATTCACTTTACGGGTAGGTTTGCTTCCTCCAGCGGCTTCCTTTCAGTTGCCAGAGGCCAGCTACTATCTTTGTCTTTGGGGGTTCTCAGCTGCAGTGCCCATGGCCCTTCTAAAGGAAGCTTGGCCTACACAGGTGCCCTGGCCTTGGGTAGAGTGGGGGAGTCTGTTTAGGCTCCTTTGGCATGGTGGCTCAGGAATGCTGGGAATGTCAGTAGCAGTGGCGGAGGCTTCTTTCTCCCAGTCCTTTCTCCTGGACTGAGGAGAGGGGCAGGGAGTGGTAGGGAGAACGGGTCTTAGAGGGTTCTGTCTTGGGGGGGGGGCGGTTCCTACACATGCCCTATAACTGTTAGCTTTGAAGACTGTTTTATTTTAGTTCTTCCTCCCCTGGTGGCTACAGCCTGCATTTTTCTCATCACTGTGGCTGTTAGGAGGTGATCTTCCTTCCCCTGATGCTGGAGTGTGGAAACACTGAGAGCCTGGATGTGAGAACTTGAGTGTAACAGTCAGGACAGTAGGCCAGAGCCTCCTTCCGATGCTTAGTTTTCCCTGGTTTCTCCTCTAGAAGAAAGTAACTTTGCAGGTTGCTTCTTAGTTCAGGCCCTCCCAGGCTCTTTGTCTAGGGAAGCTGAACTGGCTGGCGGTTTTAGTGTAGGGCATGGTGGTGGGAAGGAAAGGAACCAAAGTCTTCAGGGAAGAAGGAAGGCTAAGCAAAAACTGGTTTTCCCTTGTGACCACTCTCCCTGCTCTCTCCCTTAGGAATCATACCCTGCTGTGCCCCCCATCTGGTCGGTGGAGTCTGATGACCCTAACTTGGCTGCTGTCTTGGAGAGGCTGGTGGACATAAAGAAAGGGAATACTTTGGTGAGGGGCAGGGGGGTAGAGTGCATGTGTTCCTGGTGAGATTTCAGCCATAACAGTACCCTGTGAGAGGCAGCTGGGTCTGAGAGTGGGGGGTACCCAGGTAGACTGTCTTGGGAAAGACTTCTTAGGAGGGTTGCTTTCTGAGGTCAGAGGAGGCAGATTCCTGTAGCAGCTCCAGGGTAGGTCCACTAGGGAAAGTCATTCCTGTAACTGAGGGCCATCCAATTAGAGAAACAGCCACCATTTTGGGATCTGAGCTAAAAACTCATCCATGCAACAATCCAAATTGCAGTAGGGGAGGTGTATTTGATGTGTCTGTGGTTCCCCACCCCAGCTTTTGCAGCATCTGAAGAGGATCATCTCTGACCTGTGTAAACTCTACAACCTCCCTCAGCATCCCGATGTAGAAATGCTGGATCAGCCCTTGCCAGCGGAGCAGGTATGCAGCTGACGACTGGGCTTTGGGTCTGTTGTTCAGTCATCCCAAAGAGCGCCTGACAAACTCTTGATAACTGAAATGGAACTGTGGTTGCTCCTGCAACATCCATTGCTCCCAAACAGTGATTCCCAGCCTTTTTCTTCTCCAGATGAGACTCTAGCTACATGAGGCACTTCCCACTGCTCTGTCCTATCAGAATTCATCCTCAGGTCGAGATGAGGAGGACGTGTTTACCATTATCTTAGCAATAGGAATTGATGACCCTTTGTTTAGACCCAGAAATGCACTGTCACTTAGAGGAGAGCGAATGAAAGAGGGGCTCTCAGAGAAGGTGAGCTAGGATCTGCAGAACAGATGACAAGAGCAGCCATGAGTTCTTTCTATTTTGTTTTTCTTTTCTTTCCTGGCATTGGTAGCAAGAGAATAATTGGCTGGTAGCAAAGTCATCCATCCCTTGGGCTCATGCTTCCACTCAGTTCTGGCTGATGGAGAACTGGCATCTTTATGGGCACAGTGCCCAGCTTCCAGACCTTCAGGGCCAGGGGTAGGTCAGGCTGCATTCTAACAACCCACTGGGTTCTGATCTTGGTCTTTGCCCTATTCTCCACTGCAGTGCACGCAGGAAGAAGTATCTTCGGAAGACGAAGATGAGGAGATGCCTGAGGTAGGCTTCCCACTTGAAATGGCATTGACAGGAAGTGTTTGTCTTTGGTGTGGGTCATTCCGTATAAACAGCTCCAGCTTCCAGCTGGGGAAAGAGATGTCAGTGGAACAAAGACTGGCCTGGAGTAAAGGAGATTGCCATCTATTATCCGTTCTTTGAAAACAAATAAATACTGTGCAAACTCATCTCAGATGGCTTCAAGAGTCTTGACAGACCCTAATTGCACCCTGATTGTCTTATTTGGAGAGTTTCACTTAGTAAGCTACAGTCTTTTCATTTCTAAAATAAGATTATGATACATATTACAGGGTTGTTTCGGATGGTAAATAATAATGTATAATATATGTGGTAGAACCTTTAAAAATATAGATGCTTTATTTTTTCTCACTTTTATATACATGGTTGTTTTCCCTGTGTGAATGTCTGTACACTATATACCTGCAGTGCATGTAGAGTCCAGAAAAGGGCATCAGATCCCCTGGGACTGGAATTATTTATGGTTATAAGCCACCGTGTGGATGGTGGGAACCAGTTTCCTAGAAGAGCAGCCAGTGCTCTTAACCGCTGAGCCATCTTTCTAACTCTTTGTTTATGTTTTGATATAGGGTCTTGTGTAAGCTAGGCTGGCCTCAAACTCACTTGTGTAGTTGAGGATGGCTTGAATTGATCCTCTTGCCTCTACCTCCCAAGTGCTAGAACTACAGGCGTGTGCCACCATGTCTAACTGTAGGTGCTTCTATAGAATATAAACAATACTTAAGTTGAGCTTCGTAGCCAGATAGGACTTAACCTTACTTCTGTGAAATCTGCTTTGCATGGGCATGAGAATTAATTCACTAGACCTCAACTTTCCTATAAAATAAAGATAATGATAGAATAATTCTTCAATGTTATAAAGGAATAAAGAAAGCTAGTGCGTGTTGCCCTTAGTACAGAACTTTATAGGATATCCTTTTGTGGTACTGTATCTCTGATCGTATTTCCTAGCCTTGGACCCAGATTTGGTAACTTTGTACTGATCTTCAGACCCACAGTGGGCTGATGAGCCATGAAACAGTCCTTCCTGGCAGTTCAACCCTCTGTACCACGCCCCCAGCACCTGACTGTGGAGCTGAAGCTGCCTCTGTGTGGCCTCTGCTTGGTGAGCCACTTGTTCACTCAGAGCCAGGTGAATAAGGACCTAATTATGTTGTTGAGTTTGGCCATCTCCTACTTTGGGCCACCTCATTTCCATCTTGGCAATGAGTACATCTGGGGACCCAATTCAGATCCTGCTATTGTAGGCAAAGAAGAAGAAATTTATTATTTAGTTTTCTCTTAACATTTTTAAGATATATTGTGTGTGTGTGTGTGTGTGTTGGAAGTCAGGACAACTTGGAGGAGTCAGTTCTATCTACTGGGTAGGTTCCAAGGATTAGACACAGTTATCAAGCTTGGCGGCAAGCACCTGT